TTAAAAAAAAAAATTATTAAGCATGCATTATTTTTTCAATTAACATTATATTTGTTAATTCATATTTTTCAAATTTATAAACTTTATTCATTAATAAAATTACACAAACTGAAACTATGAATTTTGTATATTTTAATAAAATCATACCATCTAACACTAGGTTAAAATAACTTCTTAATAAAAGAAAAAAAAATCATTTGGTATCATCATTTAATGTATTTGTTTTAAAAAAACTTGTGTTAATTTGTGTAAAACATAATGTTAAAATTAATAATATTAATACAATAAATATATTTTGTTCAAAACATAATTGAAATTTTCATATTAAGCCTTCAAATCATACAAAAAAATCATAATCTCAAACTAACAACTGATGATGTGATATTTCATAATTAAAATAATATTTTTTTCTATTTTTTTTTCAAATTTTGATAAAATAATTTAATAAATTTTAATCTAATTGAATGATAAATATTTTATTAATTTTTTTAATATTTTAGGAAGTCAATTGAAATGTAAAGAAATATCATATTATTATTAGTTATGTTAGTTTAATAAACGAAAAAAAAAACACTTTTATGAAAGTTTTAAGAGACAAACGGTACAAACAAAATCTCAATGGAGGATTTGAGAAATCTTTCAAATCTCAGGGAACAAATTAAAATTTATTAAAGAAAAAGTTGACATTGATGTTTGGCTTATGTAAATCTATATAATGAGAGCAGGGTGCACGGTAGTTTCTCATAAGGTTGCGAGAACAAGAAAATTAGTTTCTGCAAATTGCTGCCGCCTTTCTTTTTGTTTTTTGAAAACTCGTGCTTTTCAAAATGAATTAATTTAAAAAGACTGAAACTAATTCTTGATATTCAAGTATTAAATGTTGAAACAGAGATTCTTTAGCAAACTGCATTTTTTTTTAAAAAAAAAAGGGAATATAAGTGGAACTCTAAAAATCCAATGGTTAAGCAATTAATTAATTATTATTATTCTTTTTTTTTTTGTTGAGAAACAGAAAAGAAACTAAGCCAGATTGAGGAAAATGGTTTTCCTATCATTTTTTAGATTAATTATTTGATATCATACGTTTGCTTATTTATTATATGAATTCTCAATTGTTCAAATCGTAAAAACGAAGAAGAAAGTTGGGGAGCACTCATATCTACAGAGTATGTGTATTTGTTGGCTTAAAAAAATGCATGTATTAGCCGCATTTACTTCACCTGCCATTGGGATTTGTGAACAGTAATACCGATCATTGCGTTTCTTTGCGGATTGATTTTGGTTTTCTTGCTTGAGATGTTTAAAAATCACAAGCTGATATGAGAGGAAGATCTCTTTGATGTTTCTCTCTATCCTGTCTCAAATCGAAGCTCTCACCAAACTCAGGTATGACAGTATTGGTTTAGAGGATAGGTTGCCTTCTGATATTTGCAAATCTAACTAATGGAGATATCCTATTGCTGACTATACATAGAGGATTGTCCTTCCCTTTCTCTAATCTTGATGTTTTATGTTTCTCTTCATAGGCCAGTGTGGCGGTGGTGGTGGTGGGTGGTTAGAAACATGAGCTTTAAGCAAAGATAAACGGCTGAGATTTTTTTTTGGCTGATTTATAGGTGGATTAACTTTGCCATATTCATCCCATCTCTGGCCATCTGATCTTCTTGCATTTCCAACAGATATTGATCTGGAAAATTTTTATGATTCAAATGACATGAATGGTGAAAAGATGTTGCAGCAGTTGTTCGTGATGAGAGACAAACTAATTAATGCCTTAAAAATTTACGTACTTAATGCGCAGACCTCAGCAATTATCTTAATTAATGCCTTAAAAATTTACCAGACCCTTATGTTAGGGATACGTGAGAAAGGGATGATGGCCTGCATTCGTTGTAAAATGGATAATTTTCAATTTGCCTCCTTAAATTTTATTTGTTTTCTTAATTTCATCTAAGTTTTTTAATTTATTTCAATTATCTCTCATATCTTTCATTTTTGTTACAATTTTCCCCCTCTGCCAATTTTTGTCAGGTGTGCAAATGCCAATATCATCTATAAAGTTTATGAACTATCGATATAATCTTAAAAGTAAAGAAAAATAAATTAATTTAAATTAAAAAACCAATAAAAAATATATTTTTTATTAAAAAAATATGATAAAATTTGAGGTTATTTTCTTAAGAAATTCTCAAATCCTACCAACTTAAATTCTCACTTAATAACGTCATTTTTTTCTTTGTCATTAATACAATTAAATGAAAATCAAAATTCAAATTGATTGAACTATCTTTTAATTTTTTTCATTAAAATTTTTTACCATTCTGATCTCTTTCAGTTTTCATGCTCTTTTTATTTTTTAGAATTTATCATCAAATAGCACATTTGATATGTATAAACAATTACTCTCTAAGTAGCATCAAAATTCTCCTCTATTCAAGTTACCATTCCATTCATTAGGGGATTTCATTTTTTTTAAGAATTCTTTTTCAAGATTTTAATGAAAAATTAGATAAAAAATCTAGTGAGAGAGTATCTAGAGACAACATCAATAGTGGTTGATATATATATATATATATATATATATTTTTTTTTTATCATATTTTTTTGTTACTTAATTTTATTTTTATTTGTCAAAGAGCTGCTAGATAGTATTGATGAAAAATAAAAAAAAATTTTTATCATATTTGATTTATTAAAAAAATGTCTTTTTTAATGATTTTTCATTTTTAATTTGTTTATTCTTATCTTTTGAGTTTTATTTATATATTTTATAAATGTTGAAAATGAATAAAATTTATATAAAATAAAATAAAAATAAAAGATACAAGATCTGAATGAAATAAATTAAGGATTTAAAATAAAATTGAGAAAGCATATAAATTCTAGAGAAGTAAATTAAAATGTATCCTTGTAAATTTGATCGAGATCAGTTCACATAAGGATTTGTTGAGAGATGGAACATAAGCATTTATTATTATTTTTGTTTGAAAAAACAATTAAATGCCGAGTGCTGACATGCCTAACTGAAAGAAATAGCAGCATCTATTTTTAAATGGAATAATTTCTTTATAAGTATATTAACTTTTTTAATATATTTTAATTGAGTACATAAAATTTATTTTTTTTTGTTTGAGTATATAATTTTTTTTAAACAGCTAATTAAGTTTTTTTTTTTGTCCACTTTTGTCAATTTGTCTTTTATTTAATGATGTATTTTTTTCCTAAAATATTAAATTATGATTTTTCTCTTTCATTCTCAAAAAAAAAAAAAAGTTCCAAATTTTATCATTTTCTACCGTTTGGATATAAGGACAATTTGAGTGTTTATTATATATAAAAAAAAGGAAAAAATAATTTAGAAAAAAGTTTTCTCAAAAAAATAAAAAAATAAAATCATAATTTAGTAGTTTGGAATAAAAAATACATTATCAAATGATGAAGCTATTGTTAAAAAATAGATAAAAATATTTGATTGATAATTTTTTTAAATAATATACTAAAATGAAAAATAAAATAAAATTCTTATATTTAATGGAAAAATCGTTAACGTTAATGTCCAAATGATATAAATATCCCATTTTTAAATGGTCTCACGTGCTACCTTATATTTAGTTCTCAATTCGAGAACATGATACCTGCTTTGTTTAGTTGTCAATTTGAGAACATGATAACTGCTTTATTTCAGTCGGTCACTGCAAAAGGTTATGGTCTAGTTATTCAGATTGTTGTTGTTTTGTTTTAGGTTAGGAAGGAGTTAGAGTTACATAAAATTTTATATACCAACCACAGAATTAGAGGTAGATAATTAAAATTGGATTTCATTTAAAAGACTTAAATCTCGTGATTAGTGGTCCCTTTCAACTTTATATATGTGAGATATGTGTTTTAATACTTTCCCTCACTAGCAGCTCATATTTTGAGGTCTATCAAATGATTTGGGTTTCAAGATCTTTATTGGGTCGTTAGACCTACTTGAGACTACGATATCATATAAAATTAAATAATTGAGGTTGAATTTTATTTAAGAGATTTAAGCCTTATAGTGAATAATCTTTTCAACTTTATAAATGTGAGACATGTGTTCTAACAACAACCAACTATTCTTAAGCACTTTCCATTTCAGGTTCCAATCACTTTTTTACGTCATGAACAAAATTATTGCATTTAATTTGGTGAAGAATAAGAAAAAATGATGGATTAAGATAATATATGCCATTGATGTTATTTTTCAAACATCCATTCTCACTTATTCAAACTTATTGAAAAATCTGACATAATGGCTTCTAGGTTTTCTAAACTCCCAGGTATTGATTCCCCATTTGTTTAAATTTTCAAAAACTACAGTCAAGGTACAGATTTCAAAATAAAAATTCAGTTTGCCTCCTCGTCACGACCCACAGACATAATCGCGAAGCAAATCGCGCGAAAGTTCCAATATCGAACTGCATTCTCTACTGTATCGTCCGATCAAGGAAAAGACTTTATTTAATATTTAACGCTACAAGCCAATAAATAGGTAGCTGGGGGGGCCGGAGGAAATGACAACTGTCTTTATATGTCTTTTTCAACGTTTCTTTTATCTTTCCGCCGTAGATTTCGGCGTCTTTTTTGCTCTGCTCTCTCCCGGTTCTTTTTCCTTCCTATAAATATACAAAGTTAAGATCACCAATGCAAAACTCTCAGACATATGCAGGATGATCAGGAGCAACAGCATCCATGCAAAAATGGTTGAGCAGAGGACTTCTCTCAGAGCAACTCAAAGAAAGTGTCTGGTAGAGATCAGAAATGCCTTTCTTCATTAATAGTCGTTCCTTATATTTATTGCTGTGTGATACATGTAGCGTTTCCTACCGATTAGGGACTTGTATATGTTAGAATTAGACTATCAAATTGTGACCGTTTTCTTTTGCTAATTTCTAACAATTTAAACATTATTGCAAACAGAAGCGAAAAAAAATGATAGAAAAATAAGCAAGAGCATCGAAAGGATAAGAGCTGATATGGTTGAGATTAACGAGGGACAAAAACGCATAAGAGAGGGACAAGAGGAAGTCAGGGAAAAATTTCAAGAAATAAGTGAAGAGGCTGCCAAACTAAAAGAGGAAACTAATCTAATCTCCAAGCAGAGTGCTGCAAATCAACTCCGGCTAGACTTAATGTTTGAAATCATCAAAGCTAGAGCGGAGAATGATTATGCCAAAGACGCCGAACTCACTCAAGCCTTACGGTTTGTCATCCTCCAATTCTTTGTGCAATATTACTGCAGTTATCTGCACCCTAGTTTTCTTTTCTTAATTGTTTGTTGCATATGATATGATTTTCTAACATTTTTCTCTGTTTAAATTTTTTTTGTTTTAGGGATCTAACGGGAAAGCAGAACTTGAGCAAAAGCAAGCCTTCCGAAGAGAAGCAAGAAAAAGATTAATAATTAGCCATGTTTCTTATGGCTTGTACTGTTTTTTTTTTTTTTTTTTTCGTAAAACGATCGTTAAGAACTATGTACAGTTGTTGTGATGTAGTATCCGAAATGAAATAAGTTTTGCAATCAATAATTACAAGGATTTCTACGGGCCTGGTCAATTATACCCGCTTATTCCAATCGACTCCTACTCTATGGAATCATTCTTCAACTTCATCTATCTACATGAAAAGCGTTTAAGAAATTCCTAAAAAAAATATTTAAGAAAATATTAAGATTGGATCATGCCAAGAGATGCTTAGCTAGTTCACAAACATTCCTACGGTCAACTTTCATGGGGGGAATTATGAAAATAAAAAAAATTTGAAGAAGTGAGAATCTAACATTTAATTAAAAAAACAATACATTATTCGTACGTTTTGGTTATTGGGATTATTGTAATAAATAAATGAAGGTTTTTGGTTTATGAGAAGAAGAAATTAAGAATTTCGTTTATGATAATGAACAAATTAACGAAGTTTACCAAAAACTATTAACAATTAATTTGGATCTTTGCAACAAATTAATGTCATAATTAATGATTTTTTCTTTTTTATTTCTCTGCGGTTCTTTATTTAGCTATTTACGTAGCTCATGATGTAAGATAATGTAATTACAGTAGCTGTCTAAGGGGTTGGGAACTAGATAATAGCTGGTCATGCATTCAGCTTCGTTGAAATTTAAAAGCTTGGGCACAATTGATCAATTTTTTTTTTTTAAAGACAAAAGTAGAACATATTATTATATTGTGCATGGGGCAACATGTGCATGAGCAAAGTAACTATATCGCGGTTTCAACGCCAAAAAGCTTATAAGAAAACCTTATATGCAATCGCTCGTGGAAACTACACTCACAATATAATCATTGCTCAGAAGCTAGCATATAGTTACTAGGAAAAAGAAAGGCATGAAGAAGATAACTGTACAAAGATAAGCATGTTAAAGACATAAAGTTAAACAAGGATATTATCTTTATCCTTATCACATATTAACTATTAAGTTTTATCCTTATCACTTTCCCGTAAGTTGAGCATGAATGTTATTGAAGACCGAAAGGATGATAAAAAAGATTAAATGATGAAAGACTAATGTGAAAAATGGGAATGTGTTTACCCTTAATTAGTTGCACTTTTTTAGGATCATGATACTCATTGTGAATGACTAGGTTTTTTAGTTACGTTGTCATGTGGTGAGTCATGCTAGTATCCGTAATCCATTGAGAGGTATTAGGAGAGGAGTTAGAGAAGGTGAAATGAGACAAGGGTTTATGCGAATGGTTGCTTGGATGTGATTTTGGAGATGGAAAGATGTTGGCAAGGAGACCAGTGCCATTACAATTGAGACAAGTAATTGGAATAGATGCGACTCGTACTATAGCGAGAACGAAAGCCCTTTGGCGAGAACTATATGATGGTGATCATCCATTACGACGACCACGACGACGATGAGTAGGTCTGTCGAGTGGCATAATAAGTAGAAATCGAAATTTAAGCAAGTTGGAGGCCATTTTGTAGTTGAAATTCTTTACTTAAGATTAGGCCATATGAGGCCTCATAGAGAATGGCCTCATGTCTAGATTCAATGGAGTGAATAAAAGGCCTATAAGAGGCACTAAAACCTCGTAATAAGGCGTGACCTAAGTCATTTTCGGATATTGGTGATCCAAGGTAGTGAAGGAGATCATAAATGGACTTTCCCCACTGAAAGTATTGAGGAATGGTTTCGGAAGGTTCGTTGGACAAGATGGTATAAGTTTCTTTTAAGATGATTGATATGGGTACGTGTTCGGAACCAAATGCGAGCAATGAGTTTGAGCCAAGCTCGCCCTTGCTATGACTTAGAACGTGAGAGAGAGAGGCGGACAGAGGTAGAATAGAATCTCACTAATTCATCATTTATAAGGAGTTAGCATAATCCTTATATATGTTTATAAGAGATAAGAATACAACTATAAAAGAGTTCCTATCTATTTACAATTCTTGTCTTATCTTCTTAGCGAGTCACATTTGGAGAAGATGTGTGTGAAGAGAAGTCTCGTCTACTCGTGGAAGCCGTAGAATATATGGAGTCCGCTGCTGCCGTGAAAGCCGTGACACTTGTTGCGAGTCCTTAGCAAACTCATGCTGCTGAATGGATTGTCTTAACACTCCTCCATAAACCGATAGTGGTCGACTACTAACCGTAAGTTTATCCCTAAAAAATACAAACCCGTTTATAGACAATGGTTTGGTTAATATGTCGACAACCCGATCTTGTGTGGAGATAAACTTGACTCCGTAGACTCTCCCCGGCTACCATATCTCTAACAAAGTGAAAGTCTATTTCCACATGTTTTGTACGTGCATGGAATACCAAATTGATCGCTAAGTATGTAGCTCCAATGTTATCACACCATGTAATGGGTTTAGTTGTTGAACAACGACCAACTCTCCTAATAAAGATGTAATCCAAGTGAGTTATGCTGCCACGTCAGCTATTGCCTTGTACTCTGCCTCCGTAGAGTTACGTGTCACTATTTTCTCGCTTGTTGGACTTCCAATCGATGAGGTTCGGCCCAAGAAATACCGCATATCCACTCGGTGGATTTCTTGTCATCAAGTGAACCAGCCCAATTCGAATATGAAAACCACCGTAAGTAATTGAGAGGCCGAATGTTTGATATGTAAACCATGATCCGTGGTATGCTTTAAGTATCGTAGAATCCATTTAACAAGCAATCCAATGAGTTACTTGTGGGTTGTGCATAAACCGACGGACTTTGTTAATCGAAAAAACAATCTTTGGCCTAGTCAAAGTGGCATACCGAAGTGCACCTACTACTTATCTATCAAAGTCGGATTATCAAAGACTAAATCATCATCTTTCCGTAGCTTAGTTGTGGTCGGCATAAGAGTGGAGATAACTTTGCAATTTAGCATACCTAGTTTAGAAAAGAGATCATGGATGTATTTTTACCAAGAGAGAACAAGTCCTTGCTTGGTTCGTATCACCTTTATGCCTAAGAAAAAAATGATATCTCTTAGGTCATGGATCGCAATTTGAATATCGAGGGCATGGATGATCGATTGGAGGAACTTGGTGTTGTTTGCGAGTGATTAGAATATCATCAACATAGATTAGGAGAAAAGCTTTATAATCCCGCATCCGATATATAAACAAGAAAGAATATGTTTTGGAACCCACAAAACCAAAAGATATTAGAAAATCATAGAGACAGGAAAACTATTCCCTTGGTGACTCGTTTGAGCCTATAGAGAGATTTGTGTAGCTTACAAACATAATTTGGTTTCGAGAGTCAATAAAGCCCATTGGTCGGGCCATTAAAACCGATTCATGAAGCTTACCATTTAGAAAGGCATTATGGATGTCTAATTGTCCGATGGGCCACCCTTGTGAAACTCGCCGGACTTAGGACTATCCGAATGGTAGTAGGCTTGACTACCGGACCGAATGTTTCATCAAAGTCCACCCCTTCCCGCCGATGGTATCCTTTAGCTACTAACCTAGCTTTATATCTTTCAAGATTGCCATCTGCATGTTTCTTAGTCTTGAACACCCATTTGTTACCAATGATGTTCATGGATGGATCCGGTGGCATTAAGGATCAAGTACGGGTTTTTAATGGTGCATTGAACTCATTTTCCATTGCAATTCTCCATTCTCTAAATTGTTTAGCCTCGCAGTAACAAGTAAGAGCTTCGGGAACCTATTTACCACTCACAGTTAATAAAGCCGTTGATGAGGGCTTAGGGCCTATATTGCGGAGGACCATGGGATGCATCCTTTGAGGTTCGGCGATGGCATTGGTGCAATGCTATGAGGTCGGTCAAAGTCATAATCGGTGAAATCAAGTATTAAGTTTAAACAAGGGGAAGATGTGTCGGTTTGGGTAGGTAGGGTGGATGAGTGGTTTTATGGATAATTGGTGAGGTATTGGTGGAGTTGGGTTGAGATTGTGATGGGTCGGTACTGGAATTTGGGGAGGCATTTGGGCTTTGTATGGTTGGTGAAGTGTTTAGGTTATGGATCAATGGTGGCCGAATGGGCCCAATAGGAGGACTCGAGTGATGCCGACCTGCGTACAAATCTTTATCATTGACAAGTGGGGCGTGAATTGGGAGACTAGCCCAAGGAGTTAAAAATTCAAGTTTTGAGCACTAAGATGAAGATTTTTCAATTTTAGAAAATAGAAAAATATTTTTAATAAATCCGACATGACGGACAATGTAAAAACGTTTTATTTGAGGATCATAGCAACGATAGCCCAAGTGAGATGGATTGTAACCTAAGAAAATACATGGGGTGGATCTAAAATCCATTTTATGTTTATTATAGGGGCATAGGAAAGGGAAGCATAAACAACCAAATACTTGAAGGAAAGAATAATCGGGGACCTTTTTAAATAAAATTTCAAAAGGGGATTGATTTTTAATAATTGACGTTGGCATCCTATTAATAAGATAAATTGCAATTTCAAAAGCATGATGCCAAAAATGTCTTGGAGCACATGCCTCACCCAAGAGAGTTAGGCTCGTTTCCACAATATGACGATAACGTCATTCTACGATTCCATTTTGTTCATGAGTGTGAGGACACATAATATGATGAATTATTCCTACCGACTTAAAAAATGTATTCAAGTTTCGAAATTCACCACCCCAATCCGTTTGGATTTATTTAATTTTAACACTAAATTGACGTTCAACCATTTTTAGAATTGTAAAAAAGTGTTAAAGACCTCTCGATTTTTTTTTCGATGAAACATACCAAATATACTTAGAATAATGATCAATAAATGTAATATAGTACTTGTATCCATCAATTGAAGCGAGTGGGAGAAGGTCCCCAAACATCACTAAAGATTAAATGAAAAATACCGATACTAGAATTTTTGAATGAATGTAAAGATAAGTGGCTTGCTTTCCCTAATGGACAAGACAAACATGAACTTGACAATTTTGAAGAAG